AAGGCACTGTGCTTCTCACCACAGAGGTACCTGGTAAACAGGTAACATCTCCTCCCAGATAACCAATCAGCATGGGTAAAGAGCACTACTTATTTGATATGTTGTAAACTTCACTTGCACTTAAACTCTTACATGTACCATGTTAGAGAGAAATGTTCATGTAAGATACTAATTAACAGCTTCTCTTTTTCTGAGGATTTTTCTAAGTGTTACACATTAATTTTCTTAAAATTACAACATGTTTCATAGTTTCCCATTAAATTGCTTAAAAGTATTCAGAAACTTTGATATTTTGTCTTAAGAGGTTGAAGAAATGCAATGCAAGGCAAAATCATGTAATTACATAACTTACCAAACGTGCCCCATTTATAATCTGAAATAAATGCAATCAAACCAAAATTAGATGTCAGTTTACTTTACTTTTCCTAATTGTTCCTCTTCTCCCTTATCAATTACAATTTATTTTTCTCTCATTGCTTGTGAGTATAAGATCTCTTACTAGTACAAAAAATCTACAGTAAAACAATTAATAAGAATTTCCATATTGCTTTCCTCAGGAAGAGAACTTCTTAATGCATTTTTTTAACCTGCTCATCTGGTGCTTCCTATTTGATATATTTATTTTTCTTTGTTTTAAAGATCATAACATTTTTCATTAATTTTTAGTTTTCGACTACATTGGTCATCACAGTATGCAGAAGCTTTGATATTCTGCCATAAAAGGTTCATTCACTTGTTCAAGTGTCAGTGATGCAATGAAACCAAACTTAGTTGCTACTTAATTGATAAGTTTTCTCTTTTTCCTCTTCTTCATAAATTGAAATTTATTGACAGGTACCCTGTCATCACAGCACTGAAAACAGGAAGGCACTTGGCTTCTCATCACAAAGCTACGTAGTATTTTAATCAGATACAAGCCAGCCAATCAGCATGTGTGAAAAGCAATTAAATCAACTGACGTGTTGTAATATTCCCTTACACTTTAACTCTAGTGATACTTGAGGAAAATGCGAGATGTAAGTTCTCTTTTATGCCTCACTTCCCTCCCAAAAAAAATTGCAAACATTATTGAAAATCTTTCAAGAATTCTCTAAATCTCCAGTCTGTGACAACGATTTTACTACAACAGTTTGTCCAAGATTACAATATCTTGCCTGTCCATTTTTCGAAAACAGTGTCCAGTGGAATGGTACGGGTAAAAGGTTCAATACTGTACTGTCAAACTAAGATCTCCAATTATTTTCTTATAAAAAATGAATCTCAAAAGAATACAGAAACATGACGCTGGACGAGAGAGTCTGTGATGCTGACTGAGAAATCTAAATTAACCCTCTAAGCCCCAACTGTGACCAGCATCTATGCCTGATCAAAATTAATGCGAAAAGGTGAAAATTAATGTATTGATGTTTGAACAAATTCCCTCAATCAGTAAAATAAGCAATCATTCTACCAAGCATTGCTGGATAAAAGTGATCTAACGACGCTTCAGAACAGAAGACTGCAAGATATCGCTATCCTTATGTATAGGATGAAAAAAACTATGCCCCATCAAAACATGCGAGCTATTTCACACGCACTGCTCACCCTACAACTTAAGGACGGCAGAGTTCGCCATTCCCAGATTTAGGACCAATAAATATGGTAAACATTTGCTCACCTATCTGGGACTAAAGTTGTGGAATAAGCCACCAAGCGAAATCAGAACTCTCCCATCATTATTTAGTTTTAAAAATCGTATTCGTAAATTTAATTTAGTTGTAATGGATTGGTAGAAGACGACATCTGTTCCAATTGCATCCTTTGCAATTCTTAATCTTTTTAAATAAGTTATCCAATTAGTTGTTAGTTAATAGGTTTTTAACTATATTATATTGTTAGGCTTTTTTTTTTTTTAAATTTTGTCCCCAATTAGTTGAGGGGTTCTTAACCCCATCGGCTAGATATTTCAAGACACATTAATAAAGTTTATGTATGTATGTATCTAACATATGGATAACCGCTGCGATAATATACATTTTGATATCGGGGCTTAAAGGGTTAAATGATATCCCAAACTTTTGTTACCATATCAAATAGTTCATCTTCCCTTGACCATACCTTCAGAGCACTACGCAACTCCAGTCGACGTTGTTTGGAGGGACTGCACTCCTCCCCGCTCATATTTCATAAACTCATCCAAATGATCTGTCTCTACATGTGGCTTAAAAAAATACTCCTATGTCACGGTGATTAGCAGCCCTTCTCGATTCTTTGGTTCGGCTGTCGGTTCAGCCAAAGTTACCAAATCTTCCAATAATTTCCGCACTGCAGTCAAAATCCCGTATGATTTCTGCTTCAATCAGCACTTTCATTTCAGCCTCGATACCAGACAAGTTAGGTTCCAAGCTCCCAAAAATTTCACCTAGCCAAACACTAAACACTTGGGAACGTTAGAACAGTATAGGACTGGACTGGACTAGACTGAACTACGTCGCTGATCTAAACTGGGGTGGTAAGGGACGAAGAAGATGTTAGTGGCGGATTCAGACCTTGAGCTGAGGGAAGGGGGCACTGTTTTCGTTTGTGTGTGCTCACCTGCCCGCTTGTCTTTCCTCTGCGTTTATTTTTTTACCCAAGATAAAGGAGGGGAGGGAGTGGGGTGGATCTCTGGTCCCTCTGCTAGATGGATGTAGAACGATTAACAAAATGGATGACATAAATGTGGTTTCAACAATGATTCAAAACATTTAAAGTGCTAATACAAGCAAACAACCAAGCAAATAAATATAGAAATAAAGGCAAAAACCTAGGGAACAACCTATTAAAAAATATACGGTAAATTTTGACAGTTTGACCCATAAGAAATGTCAGTAGCATGTGCACCCATCTTCGCCTTCGAAACAAGAAGCATAGAATCAGAAATATATAATCTGAAATATCTTATGAGCGATGTTTTGACTATTGCCAATTTCCCCTTAAATTCTCTCTCAAGTAATAAAAATGCCCCGTCTCCCTTGGGAGTCGCTTCGCTGAACAGCAGACCAGACGTCAAGTTGTAAATATCAATGAAATCGCTTCTAGAAATACTGCTTTGCCAAGCTGATTAAAACCACTGTTAATGGAACCGATGATGCAAAGACGCATTAAAAAGGTAATCAAAGGGCGTTTAATTATAAGTGATTTGATTCTTCAAGAACCGAAAGACAAATCATTTATCTTAATTAATTAAAGGTGCTTTTGTACTTAGTGATAAACTTAACTTTTGTCCCGCTTAATGTCCGTAATCGTTCAGCAAAAGTTACATCAATTCAACGGCCTTCTATCGATCTTGCCTCCTTGAAGACTCAACTGCTTTATGTGACAATTTTAACTGAGTTCAGTTACTAAAAGTCATTTGGTGAGTGGTGTAGTTATAATATACTGTTTTGTCAGTCACGATTCAAGTAAGTCTTCTGCATAATTTAAAGACAGGAGACCGGCTACATGTCACGCGACATAGCTTCAATCAACCGACGCTTATCGAAGATGGCGTCCGTCGAGACATTCTCGGCTACTGGAGAAATTACTTCTCGTTTCAACGAACTTCTTCGAGGTGTGTCCGATGAACTAAGCCCTGAAGAACTAAGCCATGCCGTATTCTCCATAAAAACTAATTTTAAGGGCGAGTTTGAGAAACAAGGGAAACAAGATTTGTACTCATGCCTCCAAATATTCGCTAACCAAGGTCTTGTATCGGAGGACAATCTGACTTTATTGGAGGGGTTTGTAGGCCCGAAAGCGTCCAACAAAGAGTCTCTTAAGGAAAAAATTCAACAATTTAAAGAAATCCGTCAACAGGAGGTCAGTCCTGGAAAGGAAGAATCAGGTTTGACCGGCAGAGATCGTGACTTGGAGAAGGTGATGAAAATGTTGACGGCGGGAAGTTCGCGTGTTGTCAATTTACATGGAATTAGCGGAGTAGGCAAAACGAAATTGGCGATGGAAACTGTTTCAAAGTGGACAGGAAGAAAATTCAAGGCTGATCTTAGAGAAATCACTAGGATGGAAGACGTTCATTTTCACGTTTTAAACGCTTTAGCACCGGGATCAGACAAAACGATCATAAGCTTCGAAGCTAATCCAGTCGTTGAATTAATGCAACAATTGAGGCAAGCAGAGCAACACAGTGACATATTACTGCTCCTTGATAACATCGAGAAATTTGCTGGAGGAGATGATCAAGCTTCCATCTTTCTTAATGACAATTTCGTGACGTTTCTGCAGCGACTTCTGGGTCCAAAGGATTATCCGGGAAAATCGAAATTGAAGATTTTGCTGACATCGAGATCAACACTGCGTCACGCAAAATTGGCCAAAGTTGACGATTACGAAGTTATGGCCTTAGAGAAAGCTTCATCAAGTGTTCTATTCCAAAATCAGAGAATTGGCAACATTGGAGAAGGTCAAATGGAGAAACTGCTGCAGATGTGCCAAGGGAATCCCCTCATCATTAAGGGAATGGCAGCAATCTTGAGGCAACAAATAGCCGATGACACCAGGATTCTGGAAACGATTGAGCAGCAACTAGAGGACGAGCCTTCAGAGGGGGAAATACCACCAACAGAGAAGGAGAGTCGAGAGAGAGAAGTATTTGACCCTGAAAAGGAAGGCATTAATAAAGAGCATGAAAGCTGTTTAAGAAAAATGTTTTTCTTCCTGCCCAGTCAAAAGTTACAAAATTCCGCCATTTCGATGTCCTTGTTCTGTCGCTCTTTCTCTGTCGAAGCAGCAGCTGAAGTCCTTGGAGAGGACTTGTCAGAGGCTGTTATGCAACTGGAGGGTCTCAGGAATAGTCAGGTGCTAATGGTAGACACTGACGTGAAAGAACTCACCTATGACATCCATCCTTTGGTGCGAACATTTCTGAAAAGCATCGGCAGCAACCTAAAAAAGTTCAACAAAGTTTACGAGAAGGCAAAAGGTAGGTTCCATGAACATTTCATGTCCAAAATGGAAGCGATTTCTGGGCTTTTGGACAAAGACTACATTGAGGCCTTCGATAGATTTGATCTTGACAAACCAAACTTTGAACTGGCTTTGGACATTTCATTCAAGTCAGACCATCTTCTTATTCCAAAAGAGCATCGTGAAAGTGTTATGATCTTCTATCTCTTCGAGGCCATGCTTGATGAAAAAGCAAGAAGGAACATTTTTAATTGTTGGGCTGAGAAGGTCGATGAAGATGGAAAGGAAGGTAAAGTTTTAACATGTCATTGAAACATTTATTAGCTTGCGTAGGACGTTTTATTGGAAATTTCTGTGCAGTAAGTTAGCCGAACTTGTGGAAAAAAATTTAAAAAGTAAGGAGCCTATCGCCTTCTTATTTCGTCTGAATCTATATACTTAAACGCCTGGAAAATCCTTTTTCTTCAATAAACTTTTGGTGTTAAGAGAATATTCTCTTGCAGGATGATCATCGATTAATCGTTCTTTTACGTATGATGCATGATCCTCGCAGTAGAAAGCGCTATTTATGTAATAGCGAAAATCAGACCTGAAAAAAATCAGGCCGGTACGGGATTCGAACCACTGACCCCTGCGATACTAGTGCAGCGCTCTACCAATTGAGCTAACAAGCCAACTGGGAGCAGGCCGTTAAGTTGATTCGTAATAAACCCGTGATGATGAATATATGCACTTCATATATTCATTGTATCTAATCGTTCTTTTGTTGCACCTACGACTTTAAGAATAGTTCTTCCGAATGAGACAACGATCACTTTATTGCTCACTTACTAAATAATATGATTGGTGGCAAAAAGGTAATCAAAGGGCGTTTAATT